TCCCCTATAGCCAAAAACATTTTTGTGTTGTTAGCTTATGAGCGATCTTTAAAATATTGGACTGACAGAATGATGGAGAACACACAAATCCAAGGTCAGATCCCAGTTGACTTCTTCAGACTTCCTCAATTGGAGACCGTGTGAGTATCAGCTTTATATAATAGGAATTACCGGTTTCTGCTATTACGTCAATACATAAAGGCAAGAACTTTTTATCAAATTTAAACTAAAATCTTACTTACCAATTATACTGACAGGGTGCTCAGCAACAATAATCTTAGTGGAATCTTAAATATTGGCAATAGCTACAGCAACAATCTAACCCTTGATTTGCGGAACAATTCCATTACCGACTTTATGCAAAAAAAGGATTACAGCATGGAGCTAATGTAAGTAATCGAGCAGTTAGTTTGTTCAAAGCTTCTTTCAGAGGGTTGTGAAATGTCTGTTCATCATTATCTTTTTAGTATAATCTCAGCTGTTGAAGGATTCACAGTTTCTATTTATTGCAGTCTAGTTGATAACCCCATTTGCAATACGAGTGGAGCAACTTTGAAATACTGTACAGTTGAGAATCACCATAATAACACATTCCCATCAAACAATTGTACAGCTAAATCCTGCTACAAAAACCAAGTATTGAGTCCTAATTGTGGATGTTCACATCCATACACTGGAACCCTGCACTTTTTCTCTTTCTCTTTCTCAGATTTACAAAATTTAACTTATTACAAAACCCTTAATGGGGCTCTGATGTCTGTTTTTCTCTCCAATGGGCTTCCTATTGATTCAGTAATTCTTGCTAATCCAACTGTTGACATGTATAACTACCTTCAGTTCAGTCTGCAAATTTTTCCTTCTGGTCAACATTCTTTCAATCGAACATCGATATCTACAATAGGTTTCCTACTCAATCGTCAGCAATTTCCGCTTCAATATTATGGGCCATTCTTCTTCATTGATGAACCGTACTGTTGTTTTGCAGGTGAATATCATGCTCGCATTTAGGAAAACTTGAGATTCTTGTGATCCTGTTTGTCAAATTTTGAATCATCCCTGTCTAATTTATATGTTTTCCTCTTTCACCTTAGGATCCAAAAAGTCATCAAATGCAGGCATTATCATTGGAGTAGCAATTGGCTGTTCCGTGCTTGTGCTATTGGTCATCTTTGCTGGAATTTATGCTTTTCTTCAGCATAGAAAAGCAAAGAGAGCTTCCGAAAGGAGCAACCCATTCGGTAAGATCAGCCCTATATAAAATTATAGAACTCTTTCATCTTAACTATATGACATCCTCAATATTTTTGTCACTCTCATGTTATATGAATGCAGCATCTTGGGACCCTAAAAAAGAAAGCGGCAGTGTTCCACAACTTCAAGGAGCAAAATGGTTTTCCTTTGAAGATCTTAAGAAATGCACTGACAATTTTTCAGAATCCAAGTGCATTGGATCTGGAGGCTATGGAAAGGTTTCTCTGTTGTTATTCTTTGAATATTTCCCTTTTTTAGTTTAAGTGTTTGGTGATGATTAAAATTAGATTTTTAATAGATTTTGATAAAAGTTTTTGAAATGTGTGGTTGAAAAGTTGCGGGACCCATGAAATATATGGTTAAAATTGATTGTTTGACTTTAATTTATATTAAAATTTAATTTAAATCAATACCAAACAGGGCCTAAATTGATAATCGTTGTACACCTATTGGTACCTACCTCCACTAGAGTAGCCAATAATAAAGAACACATTAATTTTTGCTCAAGGATCTTTTTCCAACTAAACAGGAAAAATAACACTGTACTTTGGATAACTTCTTATTTTGGAGTAGTTACTGTTCTGATGTAGAGCCTGTCACGAATTTTCGTTTTTCTTTAGCACTTGTGGAGTAACTAATGGAAATGAAAAGAACACCTTCCTTTCATAATTATGACCGAACTTATGTGTAAAAATATCTGCTACCGTGAAGCTATTCCACCATGGTCTGTGAGAGATCTAACTGAAGTTGCATTCTGTGCTTTACTGATAGGTTTACAAAGGAGCTATTTCTTCTGGACAATTAGTTGCAATCAAGCGTGCTCAACAGGGATCAATGCAAGGGGCCTCTGAGTTTAAAACAGAGATTGAACTTATGTCAAGGATTCATCATAAGAACGTCGTCAGCCTTGTGGGATTCTGTTATGATCAAGGTGAACAAATGCTGGTCTACGAGTATATATCAAATGGTACCCTTCGAGATTGTCTTTCAGGTAAATACTTGGATTCTTTCTATTTCATGAACATGTTACTCGTTCTAACTTCCATATTGAGATTAATTCATTCAACAATATGGCAAAGTACACTATATTATTATATGAATAATCAATAATTTCTATGCTTTCTTGAGTCTAAAATTAATCTTCGTTCTTATGTTTACTGCCCGAGAAAGATACTGATAATCTAATAAGCTAATTTTGGTTACTGAGGAAGCGTGATGCCTAATGCTATGAATCTAAGGGTGCGTTCGATTGCAAATATTTTTTTATGGAAAATGTGTTTTTTCATTCAAATTCCTACTTCTATGTTGTTTGATTGACATTTTTTTCATGGAAAATATTTTTCTACTTTTAATCACGTGACCATTTTTTTCTTAAAATTAAGGAAAATATTTTCTTTAGGGGAGTAGGATTTTATTTTTTAGGGAATTCACTCTCTTTTTCTCTTATTTTTCAAGGAATTTACTCTCTTTTTCTCTTATTTTTCAGGGAATTCACTTTCTCTCTTTCATCTATCTACCTTCTCTCATCTACCCATCAATAAAAATCGGACAAGTATAATATTTTTTAGGTTGAAAATTAAATTAATCAAACACATTTGATTGACAATTTTCATACAAATAAGTTCTAGGCAATTGAATTACCTAGAATTTATTTTCTTTCCATACAAATTTCATGCTTGCAATCAAATGTACCCTAAGACATTTCATTATATATACATTGACTTTAACTTCACATAATAATCCTTATCATTTCTAAACATGTTTGGTTAATCTTACAAGGAGCTTATTGGCTGATTCTTTTGGCCAAGTCACAAAAAAGGCGGTAGTAAGATACTTATAAGCTTAGCCAAACATTTAACCCAAGCTTGTGATTACCATTGAAATTCTTGAGTTGTGTTGCCAAAAAGTAACTCGATAATGAGGACTAACCAACTTGACGATGTCTTATATCATGTTATTATGCGTGAAAACTTTATACAAGAAAAGGACTTAGAATTTAATTCAACGAACCTATGTTTCTATGTTGATTCAGTGTCAGTAATGGACTAAAGTTTACAGGGAAGATAGGATTCAAATTAGATTGGAGCAGAAGACTTAAGATAGCTTTTGATGCTGCCAGAGGGCTGTCATATTTGCATGAGCTTGCCAACCCTCCGATCATTCACAGGGATATTAAATCAAACAACATATTGCTGGACGATCATTTCAATGCAAAAGTTGCTGATTTTGGTCTATCGAAACTCATGGGTGATACGGGCAAGGGTTATGTCACCACTCAAGTCAAAGGGACACTGGTGAGCTTTGAAGTTAAAATAACATTTTTATTTTTCTATTAAAAGAAATGTCTTTCTCCATATTTTTAATTTTTTGGCGCCATGAACTCTTCTTTCGTTTGATGCTAAGAGCAGCTGGTCTTTGTCAATATAGGGATACATGGATCCTGAATACTACATGACCCAACAGCTTACCGAGAAAAGCGATGTATATAGCTTTGGAATTGTACTGCTAGAGCTAATAACTGCTAAAGCCCCTATAAAGCATGGAAAACACATTGTAAGAGCAGTTCAGGAGGAATTGGACGATGCAGAAGGTTCTGAAAATCTAGATAAAATTCTTGATCCAGCCATGGGATCAGGATCACATGTTGTTGGCTTGAAAAAGTTTGTCGATCTTGCAATGAGATGCGTTAGAGAATCTGCTGCTGACCGGCCTACAATGGGAGAGGTCGTGAGAGAGATTGAGAACATCTTGGAATCGTCACCCGTAAACAAGAAAATGGACACAAAAATCTCTCGATCTAGCCATGAGGAAGAAAGCAATCTGAGTCCTCTCCATTCTTATGACACTGAGGTGTCTGATGTCAGCTATGGCTCTTTCCCGTTCCGCGTAGAGCATCAGTATGGAAAGTAAGGAATTATGAATATCTTGATCCAAAGTGCTATCTATATTTATATTGAAACTGTGAATGCTTTCAATTTTGGTTTATCCATTTATTGATCATAGCAGATTGTACAATCAAGAACTGATACATTAGGTGGTAGAGAAGTTACAAAACTGAGACCCAATTTTTTGTGCTGTTGTATAATGTACAAAAATAGTTACACTGTCAACTATCAAGCTAAAGGGGTTCATTTAGTTATTCTATCTATTTTATTTGCCAAAACTAAGAACACGAATTGATATTGATGCCTTGGTTTTGTAAAAAGTAATTTTTTTTTTATTTTTTTTTTAAGAATGCGGTAAAAAATGGAGAAGTTTTGAATTTCAGTGCGAAATTATTTTATTGAAAAAACGTTTGATTAAAAATGAATTTGTGGAAAAAAAAAAAAAAAAGGAGTTTCAAAGAATTGGTCTCAAACGTGGGCATAGTACAGAGACAACTATTCAATTTTGAGTTAATTGTACTGTGGTCACCAAATACAATTACAATGAGTAATCAAATCACTTTAACATTAATTTAATTACAAATTTGTTACTTAACTTTAGCTGAATTGCAACCGGGTAATTTAACTATAATTTAAGCATTAGTTTTTTATTCGACTATATGTTGATCATGCTTAAAATTAATCGTTGGTTATATATACGTAGAATTTTTCTGTCAAATTAGATTTTGTTTTTTTTTTTTTTTTTTTTTTTTTTTTTTTTTTTTTTTTTTTTTTTTTGGGGGGGGCGGGGGGGCGCCGGGGGGGGGGGGGGGGGGGGGTTCACGATCTCTTCTCTTGTGAGGGGGTTTGTACATAGTCAAGTTTATATTAATGATCCACCCAATTCCCCCAGGGCATATCTCCCAGTGACAAAGGGGAGAGCGGATAGGGCTCAGCGCAGTAGCGTGCAGAGTTCGATTCCCCGCAAGGTGGAATTGGCTTTGTTGCAAGCGGGAGTTACCATATAGGTTAACAGCCTTGACCTATCCATGTGCTCTCCACCCAGACTCTTGGGAGGCACATCCTGCGATTTACCTCCTCCACGATGGCCCAGGACAGGGTCGGTGGGGGCCCTTAAGATTGGGGTTCAACCTTTTTTTTTTTTTTTTTTTAGTTTGATCAAGCCTGCCAGATAGGGTCAAGTCCAGGCTCAAAAATAGGGACGCCGCCTATTGCCCCCCCCGTCCCCCCGCCTCCCTCTCGGGTCTCTGAGCCTGGACTTTTAACCTGTCCAAATGGGTTAATTCTAATTTGATTGGAAATAAAAAGTAACTTTTGTAGTATGGTTAATGTTGTATGTAGCTAGGTTAGTTTTTGTAGGCTTTTCCTGTCTCTTCCAACCCCATAAAAGCCAAGATTTACTGTTTTATTTCAAAGAGATTAGATTTTGTCCACCAGCCATAAGGTTATAATCAAATCCAGACATCGTGTTCGACTCGACATGTATCCGTGCATTTCATGACTTATAAATATTTAAAAGTAATTCAAACAAAAGCAGCCAGCCAATATCAATGGGAGCAAGAAGAAGCCAAGGCACTGACATAATCAAGAACCCATTTAGGGCTTAGGTACACATTGACCTGTATATGAACACACGCACATATATATTCAAATCATGTAAAAAATAAGAGTAAAATCATTTGAAGTCCATGATTGTCTCATTTTCCCAACTCTTGCAATTTGCAATACATATTCAAACCCAAGATTTATCAAAGTCTTCCATTAGTGTATTGACTTTTAGAATAACGTGCTTGTAACTGTGGACCAGCTTGCATTGAATGCTTGAGGTTTGAAAATGACATCTATTGATTTCTAGAAATATCTTTTGTGGAAGTAAAAGGGCTTCATCTAATCGACAAGCAACTTGTATAGGTAGCAGGTCTGATTGATGAGTAATAAATGTGGGGCACATTCTATGTTTCTCAAGAAAATATCAATTTTTACAAGCCAGTGGAAGGGGTCTTCTCTTGATAACTTGAAGATGATAAATAATTGACTTAATGTACATATTATTGATGGGGCCCCTTTTTTTGCTTAAATTCTTGAAATTTTTAATATAATATAATGTCAATTGCATAATGGTAATATAATGTGAACCAATAAAATACATCTCGAAAGGTTTTGGCAATCAACTAGGATCTGGCAAGAAATTCGTATGAGTTGGCGGCGTAAAGGGCTATTGTATTTAACTGTTAATAGTTGAACAGAAATCAATGGTGGCATCTAGGTAAAATTTTGTAAGTTTCTCCTCCATAGGACAAACAATTTGCTGAGAGCTGGAAAGTTTATGTTTTTTTTGTAGATTTTGGTCAGACTTTCTGTTTGTTTGATAATCTATATGGTTGTTGTAGAGCAATGATGGTTTTCAGAATTCTGTTCCATCTGCTGGTTGCTTCAACACAATTTTTGGTTATAGCAGCATTGACAGATCCACAAGATTGTAAGTATTCTTGATTCTTGGTTCAAATAGCATTTCATCATTATTTATGTTATTTTTTTGAAGGTATCTGATAACTATAAGAAGTTTTATCTGTACCAAAAAATCGAAACCAATGAGAACTAATTTCCTCAAAGAGAACATAATAAACTCGTGTAAATTTGGGATTTCTTGCCTACTTTGTTCTTCTTCCATGTTAGTTCTTCCTTTACCAAGAGAGTAGGAATTGACCAGATTTGGAAAATAGGAGTTGATTACACATTTTCTCTTAATCTATGTAGTGGAAGTGAACATTACCCTTTAACATAGCTTAAATGGTAAATTAAGCTGAAATTTTGTCGCTTTATTCTTGACAAAATACGCAAGAAAAAACCAAATTTATGGTTCATGTTCTCTCTTCGCTATGTTATATTCTGTAGTAATGGTTGTGGTGTATGGGTAAACCACTTGGCATTTGATGCTTGAAGTCACAATATTTGGCTTGCAATTCATGACATTTGATCATTTTCTGATGCACTGAGCAATTTTTTCCAAGCTTCTGCTTCTTTTGCCAATTAATCTTATTTATTTGAAAATAATATTCAAGTAAATATTGCATATCACTTTTCTTAAAATGTTTAGATCCAGTACTTGAATTCTAAAGATGTGTAGAGTTGACAGGGAATTGCATTTCTTTTATGATCCACGTTCTTGCTTCTGCTGGATTTTGAATTATCTAATATTAATTACCCTAAATAAAGAGTTGGGAGGCTTAAAACCTAGTTATAGTCAACAAATATCTGTACTCCTCTGAGCACCCAAAACAGTGGAGTTAATTGTTGAGAATTCCATCTCCTATAAACAGAAGAAATTGCTTTTGTCTGTGATGCAGTTAGTGCTATACAGTCTCTCAGGAACTCATGGGAGAATGTGCCACCCAGCTGGGAAGGTGCTGATCCATGTGGAAATAGGTGGGATGGAATTGGGTGCATCAACTCACGTGTCGTTTCTATGTAAGTCCTCCCCCATTCTTCGTTGCTATTGTGCTTTTTGTGTATTTCTGAGTTTAATCCATTCTTTTCCTATTTCAGCACACTATCGAGCATCAATTTGAGTGGTCAGCTATCCTCAGACATCCAAGAACTATCTGAATTGCGGACCTTGTTGGTTTTCTATTTCTATTTGTCTATTTTTTCCTGTGTATGAGACCACTTTAGATCTTAATCATCTTAATTTTTTCCCTTTAGAACAATTAAGTACCTCGACTCTTTTCAGTTATTATTTCTTAATATCATATTATATTCTAATTTTCTATAACATATACCTCGAGGACAAGCATTCTACTTAAAATCCAGCAACCATTTTTCTAATGATTCTGAAAAAAATGTCATCATGGTAAAATCTGGTTATTTGATTTCTATCTTTATTGCCACAATTATTAATATGAATAAAGCCCAGTTGGATGGTACCTTGTGCTGTTCAGGCTAGTTGTCTGACCCTGGTTTCTAATGTTTACTCTTGTCACTTCATGTCTCCTAATGTATCACTTAGAGAATAGTACACGGGAACACTGCATAGGCGTCCTAATGCAATTTCAAATTCCTTTTTGGCGTACACGTACGTCTCAACAGATGTGGCTCAACCACTTTATAGTTATGGTTCTTACATTTAATATTTATTACCTTTCTCCAGCTATAAGTATTTTGCATGTTTTATTATTTGTTTCTGTGTGTAGGGATCTATCGTATAACAAAGGTCTCACAGGGTCTCTGCCTCCAGCTATTGGAAATATGAAGAAACTATCAAACTTGTAAGGAAATAAGGGTTTTTTTATATTATTGTCATTGCCTGCTGATGCAAATAGTTATGCTGGTTATAAGAAACTTACTTCTACATACATTGCAGAATCCTCGTTGGTTGTGGGTTTTCTGGTCCTATACCATCCTCAATAGGATATCTACGAGAGCTAGTGTTTCTGTAAGGATTATATCTTTATGTTTTCCTGTTTGGCTAAGGAGTAACATATGGAAAAATAAATGTTAAGGTTCAAGCATTGTGCATTAGTTTCTCTTCAAATTATAATACTATTTGCTAGAAAATTCAATGTGCATGCACTACACTCACTGCGTTGAAGACAAAAGAGTTCTTGACCTGGGGGTCTAGCATATTTCTATTGTAGAATCTGCCAGCCTTAATCAAGCTAGACTTATCTTATCCATATATTTTGAGATCTTTCAAATAGGTTCTCTGGATCAGTTAGACTCTTTTAAATTGAATACTCTATGAGCTTCTGTCTTAGTATAAATCGATAAAAAGAGAGAAAACTGTTATGAAAGATATTAACTGCATATTTGTTAAGCAGTATTAGATCGTAAAGGACTGTACAGTGAGCAAAATTTTAACATCTTTGACTTATTTTGTATTGACCTACGTGGTGCGATCCATCTTACCAATCATGCCACATGTTCACATTTTCCTAGGTTTTACATGACCAGAACATTAATGCTTTTTGCTGTATTGGTGTTAAGTGCAACACTCTGTAGGAACTTCTGGTGTAATTTCCTCTTCTTCAGGTGCTTAGCTGAAGCTCTTCTTCCTTTTTATGCAGATCTCTAAATTCAAATGGATTTACCGGTGGGATACCACCTTCCATTGGACTTCTATCAAAACTTTATTGGCTGGATTTGGCGGATAATAAGCTTACTGGAACTATCCCGGTCTCTAATGGAAAAACACCTGGTCTTGATATGCTTGTTAAAACAAAACACTTGTATGTATAATCTCATTTTTGCATTTGCCTCAACTAGG